TTAGAAGTCATTCCCTTAAATGACCCCCTTTTTGATACTTCATGATGATTTGTTGATTTATTTACATCTTGACAGCAGGTTCACCTCCCTCCTCTCTTCCCATATCTCCCCCTCAACTCCCCATCTGTCTTCACCCCCAATTCATTCCTCCTCTATTTCTCTTCAGGAAAGGGCAGGTCTCTCATGGATATCAGCAAAAAGTGGTGTATCAAGTTGCAGTAAGACTAAGCACCTCCCATATATTAAGGCTCAGCAAGGTGACCCAGTATGAGGAGTAGGGTCCCAAAAGCCAGGAAAAATGTTGAATACAACCCCTGCTCCCACTGTCAGGAGTCCCACAAAAAGATCAAGCTTCACAACTGTCAAGTACATGTAAAGAGCCTAGGTCAGACTCATGCAGGCTCTCTGGTGGTTGGTTCAATCTCTATGAGCCCCTATTAGCCCATGTTAGTTGATTCTGTGGGTTTTCTTGTGGTGTCCTTCACCCCTTTGGCTCATACAATCCATTCTCCTCATCTTCTGCAGGATTCCCTGAGCTCCACAGCCTCTCCAGCATGAGCTGTCATTTGTTTTTGATCTTAGCCATTCTGACAGGTATAAGATGGATTCTCAGAGTTATTTTGACTCACATTTTCATGATAACTAACCATTTCTTTAGGTGTTTCTCAGACATTAGAGATTCTTCTTTTGGGAATTCTCTGTTTACATCTGTACCCCATATTAAAATTGGATTATTTGGGGTTTTTTGATATCTAGGGTTTGTGTGTGTGTGTGTGTGTGTGTGTGTGTGTGTGTTCTTTATATACTTTGGAAATCAGCCCTTTGTCGGATGTGGGGTTGGTGAAGATCTTTCCCCATTCTGTAGGCTACCGTTTTGTCCTATAGATGGTGTCCTTTGACTTATAGAAGCTTTTCAGTTTTATGAGGTCCCATTTATTAATTGTTGATCTTAGTAGCTGCATTATTGGTGTCCTGTTCAAGAATTTGTCTCCTGTGCCAATATGTTCAAGATTATTTCCCACTTACTCTTCTGTCAGGTTCAGTGTATCTTTATGTTGAAGTCTTTAGTCCTCTTGACCTTGAGTTTTGTGCAGGGTGATAGATATGGATCTATTTGCATTCTTCTGCATGCCAAAATTGAATTATGCCAGTGCCATTTGTTTAAGATGCTTTCTCTTTTCCATTGAATAATTTTGGATTCTTTGTCAAAAATCAGGTGTTCATTGGTGTATAAATTTATGTCTGGGTCTTCAATTGGATTCCATTTTTCCACCTGTGTGTTTTTATGCCAATACTATCTGGGTTTTATTACTATAGTCCTGGAGTATATGGAGCTTGAGATCAGAGATGGTGATGCCTCTGGAAGTCTTTCTAATGTACAGCCAAAGCTCTACCTATGAGAGCATAATTCTTCTTCCTATGAGAAGTGAGACACTGATGGCTTAAACAAACAGGTCTGGAAGTAGCTAGCTGAGCTTGCTGTGACTATACCAGCTGTTGTTTTTTGCTTGAGATTCTCAAGAAGTAGAGCCGGAGATGAAGAAAGACTCAAATGAAAATGATGACTCAGTTCAGGCTAGCTTCACTAATGTGCAAAGGACAGTCACACACAAGTGCAGTACAGGGAAACCGATGCTTGACTAATGCTCTGCTATAACATTTTGAAATTCTTAAATAATTGTGAGCATTTTGTCACCTGTATTGAGTCACATAAATCCTATTGCAGGTACTGGTTAAGACTTACTCCCTAGAAAATGTGACAAGGGAGTAGAAAGTAGAAGAGGGAAGGCTGAGAAGGACAAGGGAAGCCGCACAAAGCAAAAATGCTGGTGGAAAGGGGAGACTGACGCCACTCCTGCAGGGACTGCCACCCACAGCATAGACGCAGCCTCGCCATTGTCCCATTTAGGGTCAAAGTGCAGTACTGCCACCTCAACACTCAAGTCGCTGGTTAAAGATGAGTTGTAGAAGCTATGTTAGATGCCTGGCACTTCCAGCTGTCCTGTGGCCAGCAAAGGACATCCGGAAACTGAACGTGGTAGTCTGACCATGAGATGGAGATGCTGGCAGGCAAGAAGTACACTTAGAATCAGTGTTCTTCAAACTGGAGAAGGATCATAAGGGATACCATCAAATGCTCACATAAATCACTGAAGTCGAGCATATGCTTTAATAGGAACAGGCAAAAAATGAAGGCTTTATGATCAAACTATGTATGATGTCATGAGCAGGATTACTAACTGGAAAAGGTATATACTCATTTATATGAGACAAGTGAGTCTCTATATATTCTATATATTCTATGTATATAGAATACTACGCACGTGTATATCACATATATAAGCTTTCTATAATATATGTAATAGGAGGCACAAACCTATGGAGATGAAATGTGAGTCAGCAGAGTTCAGGAAACAGGTCCAGAACCATGGGTAAAAGCACAAACTCTGCAAACACCCTGCGTTGAAAACTCGACCCCGGCACTTTCAGACTGAGTGGGTTAACTTTGCTGTGCCTACCTACTAGAGTTGCTAGGAGAATGAAGAGACTTAATATATGTAGGGCTCTTAAAGCAACATCTGCCACACAGGAAGTGCTAGTTAAATGTTAGCTCTGACTGCTCTTGCCTTTTGGCTACTATGATCGGAACTTCCCACCTCTCTGTAGTGCATACAGCTGTCCCCCAGTGCCCAGAGGGCTCCACTCATATACTAAATTCTAAGGATAGAAAAGTCTCAGATAAAATGACATAGTTTGTGAATATAACTTACCTACATCTCACATATGGTAATGCTTTAATTATTCCTAGATTATCTATTATGTAGTCATATACAATGTAAATATTAATTTTGTTATACTGTATTATAAATGAAACAAAGATAAGAAAAAACATACTTGTCCAGTACAGGCTCAATTTTGTTTTCAAATATTTTCAACCTGAAGCTGACTCTGAGGGTGCAGACCCCACAGACACAAATGATAAACTGTATCTTAGTCTTAATTTGTTGCAGGCTGGTGAGAGAGAAAGAGCAGAGACAGAGAGAAATACAAAATGGAGGACAGGGGACAAAATAAAATGACTTGATTTTAGTAGATCATTTCTGCAAATGACTTGATTTTAGTAGATCATTTCTGCAAAAGCTTGTACAGGATCTCAGGTTTCTGTTCTCTCCTTGCGCGGACAGCTGGTTATAGACTGCTCTATAGTTCCAGTTGAAGAACACTAAACCAGGCACTGTTCACAAAGCTACTGTGGTTGTTTTTGTCGTAGGCTAATGGGAGGAAAACTAAAAGGACATGAAAACAACTGAGCTCTATAATGGTCAAGAGATGGAAATCACTGGAATGGCCGTGATAGTCACTTCTTGTGTCAGCCCATTCTGTTTAGGGTACATCTTAGAACTGTCACTATCTGAATCAGCTGAGTGTTTCCTAACCCTGTACAAAGTACGAAATAAAGGGCAGGCTGTGGTTTGCACCTCAACAGGAACATTCTCTGGAGGCTGCTCAGACCACACTTGCCAAGCAAGGCATACTTGAGTAAGTGTAAACAGGGTGAATTTAATGCTAGCTGTGGGGTTCAGTGCCTAGATCCCAGCATGCAAGGACTCACTTCTCTTCTGCAGGTGAACTCCAGCGAAAAACTCACCCAATACTTGGACTTACTTATTCTTTGATTTTTGTCTGATATCTTATTTTAAAGAATATCTTTCATTTATTCTTTGGCAATTCATGCATGTACCTTTATCACACCCAACTTCCCCTCCCACTCTCCCACCACACCCCTCAACATGTTTCCTTCCTTCCTTCCTTCCTTCCTTCCTTCCTTCCTTCCTTCCTTCCTTCCTTCCTCCCTCCTTCCGTCCCTCCCCTCCTCCCTCCCCTTCTTCCTTTCTTCCTTCAATATATTGAGTCCAATCAGTGCTCCCTGCTCTCACCCAATACTAACGTCATTTTTAAAAGGGCCTGCCCATGTTGTTTATTGGTGACCTACTTTGGCCTTCTATCTCGAGCCTGCTAAACGAGAAAGCAGATATCTGGGAGTGCTCTAGCAGACTGCTCAACCTTACCATTTCTGCACAACCATCTCTGTTGAACTCTGGCTTTTTGAAAGCAAGCTCCCTTGGGTTGATATCTCCTATCACGTTTAGCATAATGCTTGACAAGCAACAGGTGCTTGATTTCTTTGAATGACGGTAAGCAGCAATTGTGGAAGCAAAATTGGCCCTTCAATCTACCAAACTTCTAAATCCATACAAAACAGAGGCGGGGGAGGCGGGGAGGGAGACTAGCCTGATTCAATTACTTTATTATGCACAATTCTGTCAAGTTTGGGGGATTCGGAAGCACAAATTTCACGGAGATCAAGGGGCAAGGCATGGTAGGTGATGTACTTAACTAACATTTAGCAATCTGGTTTTACCTTCATTTCTGAGAAACAACATCCCCGTGGCTCCAGAGCCCTTTAAATATGACGGTGGCCATTTCCTCAGACTTTTCTGGATCAGAGCCTCACTTTTGTGTAGGGGTTTGGCAGAGCTCATCTTCGCAGCCCGGGGACTGCGGAGAACTTGGGTGGCGTGTGACGGTGGCCGCGCGTGGTTGCCCGCTCGCCGCACCCCAGCAAGCTGCACCGACCAAGCCGCGGGCACGGGAGTCCACACACCCGACGGCCCCAGCAGAGCTCGGCGAGGGCGTCCCAGGCGGGAGAGCCGGAGCAGAGTGGGTGGCGGCAGCTGCCCCGCCTATCGGGTCGTGCGCCCCGCCCACGCGTGCGGGGAGGAGCCGGAGCGGAGTGGGGAGGAGAGGTCGGGCGGTCCCGGAGCGCAGAGACGGGCTCCTTGGCTGCGGCGGAGGCGGCAGTGGCAGCGGCGGGTGAGTGAGTGCCAAGCGATCGCCGGGAACCGGGCCGCGGGGACCCAAACAGGACGGGGCGGGGCGCCGCCACTTCGGGGCCACGAGCGGGTCCCGAGAGTCGACCGCGGGCTGGAGCGAGGGAGCGAAGGAAGGAAGCGCGGGCTGCGGGCACCCTGGGCCGCGGGAGGGGAGTGGGAGCGAGGCCCGCCGCGGCCCACAGACGCGAGAGCCCGGGACACGAGCGACCCCCGAGGCTGTGTCTCTGCTGCCACCCAGCCCGGCCTCGACCCGCCGGCGGGAGGTCACCGGGAGTCACTGCCCAGCTCGCGGCGGTGCGGGAGGAGCGGCTCGGGGCGGCCACGCAAGCCCCTCCTCTCCCCGCGCGGGTCTCCGGACGCGCGTGGGCTGGCAGCCTCGGTGCTCAATCCGCACAGAAGGGTGGCGGCGGGGAAGGAGACGATCGTGGAGAGACCTCGGGTGACACTCCACGAGGGACCCTGCGAGGGTGACTCAAACAGGAAGGTCGGAGTTCATACTTGAGCCCTGCGTGATTTATTTCTTTTTTAAATGTAGCGCCGTACGCTTAGCCTGTGGGTTAGAGAAAGTCGTTTTTATTTTAGTAAGGGCCTGCCAATTAAACCTCATTTTAAGACGCCATTGCTATTGTCTGCTGACACTCATTTATCCTGGCTGTGGATATCTTGTAAACTTGACTTAAATCATTCATAACTTTCTCAAATGGAGCCGTGATTCTTGTTAAACTTTGAGCAACTGGAAATCAGCTGGAAGGATCTGCCGAGGCCTGTGGTCTCGTGGTCCTGTGCGGGCGTGGCTGTGCACAAACAAGTGGGTAGGAAAGGAAGCTGCCCCATGCCTGCGCTGGAGGGGAGGTCTATGCCCATGTGCCAGGGCACGTTTAACCGCGGCTCCCAGTGGAAACACTGGGGATGTCTTAGGCCTTGTTGGACAGACTTCACATGATTCGCCTCATTCCGGTCAGTTATTTCCTCTCCCCTCGGCTGTCTTTGGACACTGTTTATATTTCCTGGGGCGGTCGCAGCGTCTACTGAATAGATTGTCTATAATGAATCTTTTGGATGTTGTCAGAGCCAGGCTCTGTGTCTGTGTGTTCTCAATTTTTAAAGCAATAGCTTGGGTTTGTTTTTAGAATGCTGGTCACCCTGCTGCACCAGTGCTTGGCACTTCAGACCGTGGATGTAAATTACCACTGGATACCAGCCCTTTCCCAGGGAACGGGGAAAACAGGCCCCTCTCGAATGGTGGCGTTAAATCCACTGTTGTCAAGCAGTCACTTTCAAGTAAGGAGGTTCCCCGTGTTTTAAAACAAAAATGTATATGTCAGGAGACCATTTTTTCCAGTAAATAGACTCATGGTTCTCACATACTTTAAATTTCTCTTTATTTTTGCGTGTTTCATACATGTGTACCCTTTTACTCTCTTCAACCTCCTCCCACTGACCACCCCTTCCTCCCAACCCCATTTTAAAAAAGCGATCAATTGCTGATTGCTAAGTGGAGTTTTAGATAAAATGTTCCTTAGCAGTCAGCTAAACACCAGAAAGCTGTGGGTCAAGGCCAGTGAATGCTGAACAGCAGCTAAGAACGACACGTTTGTATTCAACACAAGCGGTTGTATTCTATTCTGCTAGGTGTAGAACCCCAGGACGGTGCACAGCACTTAGATTTGTATAGAACTGTGTGAAAATGAGGATTTGTGCTTCACAAGAGACGGCAAGTGTGGTATGGAAAGGCAGTGTACTCACCTGTGCAGAAAGTTCTGAGCTTATTTGAAAGACAAATTCTCGTGACGGTTGGGTTGCTCTTGTCACTTGTCACAGAGCATGCCTGGTGATATGGTTGTGAGAGCGAAGGTCTTCAGAATAAAAGAGAACTCCGGAAAAGTTAGCTATGACACCTCTTGCCATGCTGGGTTTTCATTAGGTGGCTTTTTTTTTGTTGTTGTTGTGTATTTGTTTGTTCCATTTTAGTATAAGCCTTACCTAGGAAAGTCAGTTCTAGAAGCAATTTTTCTGAGCCCTGACTGGAAAGAGAAGCGGTTTCACAGAGGCTTACTGTGTAGGATTTCTTGTTAGGCCAGCCTGAGAATAGTATTTAGCCCTTTTCAGTCTGGCTTATAAAATAGGAGTAATAGTGGTCTCGATTTCTAGAGTGTCGATGAAAGTGTTGGAAAACACAGTCGGAAAGTAACCTATGGTAAGTGCTTAGAATGGCCACTTTTTCTTTTCTTTCTTAACCTAGTTTACTCAGCAGGGTACTGGGTAAATTATGATAACTAGAACCTTCTGGAAATGCCAGGTATCACAGTTTTAAGTTCCATAGAATGATGAATGTTGGCATGGTAACTCACATCTGTAATCTTATTGGCAAAAAGGAGGCAGGGGAATTGCTGTTAGTTCACACCCAGTCTAGACAACATAGTAAGTTATAGGCTCTCCTAAACTAGAGCAAGATCTTGCTCAAATAATTAGAAAGTTGACCAGATATTTGTGTGTGTGTGTGCATGTGCGTGTAAATATGTTTTAAGCTTGTCCTGTTTCTGCCATAGTAGTACAAATAATAATGATTGCTAGATCAATAATTTTAATATGCTTTTTGTGTTGTTAAATGCATACTATTTTAGGGCTAGACAATTAGGAACGTAAGTTAACTTTTAAATTTAAAGAGAGTTTTTATTTCAAATAGTTATATTTATTAACCTTGGCTAGGAAATTAAGTCAAAAACAGAAGCAGCATTTGTCTTTAACAGACTATGACTTTTAAAGTCTGAAGAGATGTGATCCAAGAGTATGTTGATGTTTGCTCTTGTGTGCATGACTGTCCAAGGCCAGCAGACAAACCATGAAGAAGTGGGGACTAATTGTGTTTATTTTTGTCACAGTGCTTGGTTAGTTACTTCAGGGAATGAACTCATCAAGTCACTAACTCAGTTGCTAAAATTTGCAAAATTGAAAAAAGTTTTTACTTTAAAAACAACCCCCCCCCAAGCACCTGCTTTTTCTTTAATACTTATCAGATGCACAGTGTCAGATTAGTCTGGGTTGTAGCTCATGTCAGTGGTAGTGACACAGAGACACTAGTTTATAATGATTTCAATGTAAAGGGTACAGTGTTCATTATGAATTGTTTGGGGCCCATGACACTGTGCCCTGTTGTAGTGAAAGACTTGATTGAATAAATTATTGCTTGCTTTTATTCCTAGAACATTACAACATAATGATGGGTTGTTGATCATGTTTTCTTCCTAGGTGTGTAGATCAGATGAGTTGGTCAACTTCTCTGTGCTTTTATTGCAGTTGTGAGGAAAACATGAATTTGTCTACATAGACCTTGTGGAACATTGCCTGACACATAGACTATATTCAATAAGTGTTAACATTAATACATCTTTGTACAGATAATAAACGTGCATTACTTTTAAAACAGGAAAATGACCTTACAAAATTTTCATATTTCTCTCAAATCCAAAAAGGCTATTATTATTCAAAACATCCTGCCAAGTTGTACTTACAAAATAAGAGACTATGCAGTGATTAGGCAATAGTGTTAGGTCTCTTAAATATGAAATTGGTTGTGTTACCAACCTACTCAGCAAATGGATTTTAGATCTTAAATTCACTTTCCTTTCTAACTGGTAATTCATGCCCGAAGTCTTTTAGGTTGCACAGTTGGAAGACAGGTACAAATATAGTGCATTACTGACAATGGCAGCTCGATGTATATTTTTGTAAAGGCTTGTAGGAAATCCAGACAAATGATGCCTCCTTTCTCTCCCAGTAAGCATGCACATATAACAAATCATCTGTGATAGTTGCTCAAAATAAATTCTTCTCTATAACCACATTTAGCAGAATGTTGTTGCCCTGTAAAAAAAAATAAAAAAAAATAAAACACCAACTTTTGTGACATATGAATGCCATCAAATTAAGAGTCCAAGTCTTTGCAGTAAATGGGAAGATTTTAGGTTTATCTTCATAAGAGATACTCGTGTGTGTGTGTGTACGCACGTGTGCGTGTTACTGGTGATTGAATCAAGGCCTTATATATGCTAGATGGTTCTGTATACTACTACCCAGTCATGGGCCTTGTACTGCTACCTCCCAAGTACTGGGGTGATGGATCTCTGCTGCCCTAAGAGAGATAAGAAAGAGCTGCATATACACCGAGTCTGAATTCACAGAAGTTGGTACCTTCTACATCCAGGTCTTCTGCCTTGACAAGCTGCATCTATAGAGCACCTTCAGTCTATCCTGAATGACAGGAATGAGGAAGGAAGCAGAAACACTGGATAAACAAAATATAGTTGCAGCACAGCTGAGTGTTTCTTGACGTTAAGCGGCTATACACCCTGGGCCCTTTCTAGATCTTTTCTGAGTCCAGAGCTTGCTCAGTTCTCACCAAGGTCCACATGAATCTAGTGTTCCTTAAGTGTCCAAACCTCCTGTAGTAGAGCAATTTTCCCCCAGAGTTGCCATAATCCCATATCTGATTCAGCACTTTGCCAAGAGTCATAGGAGAGACCCATACAGGCAAAGGAGAGAGCAGAGGACTTAATGGCGTGTGTGTGTGTGTGTGTGTGTGTGTGTGTGTGTTTACATTGGTAAGCTGTAAATCAAGTCAAGATGGGGGGGGGACATCTTACACAAGAGAGACTAGCAACCGGAAAAGAATTATGGGTGCCTCACCAGTGGGGCTCGCTGCCTCTTCAGTGGTTGCCATTAGTACTCCATATAACATCTGAGACTCCGCACGCCCGAGGTACATTCACAGGCTAGTCTTTCTGAGGCCTGTGAAGCTGTCTTCCCACAATTCCCAGCGGAAGTTTTGGCTGGGCAGGAAAGAAAATTGGCCAGCAAAGTCCTGGTGCAGAGCAGCTCCTGCCAGCAGGTGCATGGCACCCTACATTTTCTCCCAGGGGTAAGGGAGCAGTAGGCCAGCAGCTTGGAGCTGGGCAGAGGGTGGAGGTGATTGAGCTCAAGATGACTTCCAGCTGGATTCTTTCATGTGTGCCAAATCTCTCCTGAAAATCATTTCTAGTGTCACTTAAATGTATGGTTTGTCGTGGCAGGTTTTATTGGGGGTCATAAAAATGCTTAGCTCCAGTGTCTGGTTGCTGTCCTAGCACAGGGAGGGATTTTTTTTTTTTGTCTTTTTTAATAGGTCTGTATTTCCGAAAGTTACTGAACAATGAGCGAGTGTTGCAGGCCTTTCAGACTTGATACTTTGAGCTGCTCCCAAAGGTTGTAGCTAAAAGAATTCCATTTCTGGGTCTGTCTGAATGAGTCAGTTGATAAGAACTTCTGCCTTTCACATTTGTTGATTTTAAGTTAGTGACTTTGGGGGCAGGGATTCAGAAATTCGTATATTCTGTATCCTTTCTTGCAGAATAGTCTGTTGTCTGGCATTCCTCTTGCAGGCAAGGTCATTTGGCTGAGAAGTGTGAGCCCAGGTTGGATTTGAGTGGCTATGGTCACCAGTGTTCA